AATGAAAATAAATAAAATAAATAATAACTAGTTGGGTGTATGGCATCGTGCCTTAAGGCTTTGCCTTTTTTTTCTCCAAAATCAATTATTTTGTTAAGACAAGCAGAAAGTTCTTTGAATCATTTAAATCGGACGCTTAGTTCTCTCAAAAAACTGCCATTTTTTGCACATTTAGCTCCGTATCTTCGAAATGGGCTTCGAAAGGGCCTGCCTTTGCCAAAATCTAATAAACCCCAATTCTTCCAATCATTACTAATTGAATATTTTTTAGATCATTCAAATCGGATGCTCCGTTCTCTCAAAAACTCGATTTCTAATTTCTGCACTCTTTACTCTTTATCTCTCCGTAACTGCTGGACCTGCCTTTGCCAAAAACTAATCAGCTCATATCCCTATCAATAGGAAACAAATGTTTTTTGAACCATTCAAATCCGCGCCCGAAAACGTGACTGGAAATTTGTATCCATACATACATACACATACACACATCCATTTTTTCTGAGGTATGCCATATTGTTCAGAAACTTTCAAAACGTCGAGAAATGTAAAAAATTTCAATTTCTATTTCCGGCCCATTACAATAACTTACCCTACGGAAAGTTATTAATAATAATTAAGTAAAAATGATGCACGGATAAGTTTTGATTGTCAGTAATGTATTTATTTTTGAATTTAAAAAATTCAATGTAAAATAAAAAGTTATATTCAAAATTGACAAATACTTAAACATTATATTCTGGTATCTAAATAAAAGAGATCAAAGCCAAAAAAACTCTAGCAACGATAAAAGAATTTTTGATATGAATATTGATACATGGCTGAACTAACGTCATAAGAATTAAGGTAATGGATCATTTCACAAATTTCGCCTTTTTATTTAAAATAGTATCGTTAGAAAATTCTATATTTTACGTGTTTTTGAGATAATGGTGGTGACAACGCTCTACCCGCTCAATATATATACTTATTGATTCATTGATTCTAATTTTTGGAGAGTTTGTAATTCTTACGAATGGTTAATAATTAGCTGAAATTAGTTATAAACTGTTACATTAATCTCTAAGTTTGTGATTTCTCTCGCATACATGAGCACAACTTAAGTAACGTAAGCACAATCGAGTGGCCTTGGCCAGAGTAAAACTCCTGCAATTTAGAGAAAATTCATCTTATGCACATTTTATGAAAAAAAAAATTACAAGCTTTACAAAACATTCTACAGGGTGGTCCATCTAGTGTTTGGAATTTGAATTCCCGATTATTTGACTTTAAAAACGTAAAATAATCTCATTGATGTGACTAATATTTAGTTGAAAGTCGCTTAAGGAAAGTTGGGAAATATAAAAACTTATTTCCAAAGTGGTGAGTCTTTTCGGACAAAGCTCATTTCCACCTCGGTGGTTATGTTAATAAGCAAAATTGTCGCATCTGGGGCACAGAAAACCACCATGAAGTTGCGATTTGACGCCATTGGATTATCTTTGGGGAGCGGTGAAAAATAAATGTTATACCAACAATCCAGAAACAATTCAAGACATCAAGACCAAAATTCAAGCTGCTATTGCTGAGATAATGCCCGAAACAATAAAAAAGTACTCAAAAATTGGATGGATTGAATGGGCTACTGCCAAGTCAGCCGGGGTGGTCATTGGAGCGAAATTATTTTTCATAAATAAATGTCATGGATCAACCTATTAAATAAATGTTTAACCATTGAAAAATATTGAGCCGTTTTCATTTTATAGCAAAATTAAATTTCAATTTTTAAATGGGCCAGCCTTCACCTACGCACGCCTAGAATCATTTCACCATAATCTGTTTTAGTGTAGCATCAATAAAAATAAAGCCAGGATTAAAAAAATTCTTACGCCTTTATCGGTTTAAGCAAATATTCGTCAATATCAACCGTCTGACAATATTAAGGGCATACATGACACTTAAGAGTGTATTCGAGTGCGGGGTTAAGCGTTTCATTATTATGTCAACGGTGTCGTGCTGTGGCCTAGGGACGGATATCAGAGCGAAATTCCGCCCCGGATTCTAATCTAATAGACTTTATTAAAAGCGGGACCACGTGTGCGATCTCAGTCAGAGGGTCTCAGAGGAGATGAGGAGCCGAGGTATGCGAAATGACTCGCAAGGATGAATATATTATGTCAAATGTGGCAGCAGACTTCTTCGGAATGTATTTCTTTTCTATTAATAATACTATAATACATTCAACTATATTATATTTATACGAGCAAATGATAGCATATGTGGGGAGTTTTATTTGATTCTGGTTCGTTTTTTACTAATCATATAACTGATATTTGTAATAGAGCACATAAATCTTTAGGTTTGATACTGAGAAATTGTAAACATTTTAATTCAAATAATGCACTTCTTTGCCTGTACTATTCTAATGTACGTTCAAAATTAGAATATGGTTCAATCATTTGGTATCCTCATCAAATCAACAACTCTGATGCAATACAGAAGGTACAGCGAATTTCTGAAATATCTCTATTATAAATATAAAATTTTCCCTGAACGTGGCTTTGACCACAACACTTTACTAAAAGAATTTGGTATTTCTCTTGCCTCACGTCGATTTAACTGTATAATTATGTTCTTATTTAAACATTGCAATAATTCTATAGATTGTCATCTTATTCTTAACCAACTATCCTTTAATGTTCCAAAGCCATTTACGTGTTCACAATTATTTTTCAATTATCCTACTCCTAAATCTAATTCTCTCTTAAATTCGCCTATTTTACTTATGTCCTCTAACTTTAACTTAATTAATAATGAAATAGATATTCACAACACTTCACCTAATCAAATAATCTCAATCTGCACAAGTTAACCTTTTTATTTTCTTTTCAAATATCTAATTATTGTATCTTATTCTGTATATAAATATTATTGTTACATTCTGTATTATATGTAATTTTATGTTAAGTATTTTATGTTAATAACTATATATTGTAATTTTGTATATATTTTAATTGGTATTCATTATGTAAAATAATTGTATTTTTAAGTTCTCTTGGAAGAAATCTGTGGGCAATATATTTAAAAATAAATAAATAAATAAATGATAGAAATCAAGTAGTTGAACAAGATAAAATTGAATTGTAGAAGCGATTGTACAGCTTGGATTATAATAAAAAGTAAAAACTAGTGGTGTATGGCATCATGCCTTAAGGCAAATTGCTGGAACTTCCCGTACCGTAACGAAATGGTCGAGAAATATTAAATGTTTTCAAATAGATTTTTATAAATATTTTAACATGATCTAATATTTATAAGAATTATATAAACTGAAATGCAAAGTTGAAATTATTTGTTTAGACAGAAACAAATTTTTTTTTCCAAAAGCAATTATTTTGTTAAAACAAGCTGAAAGTACTTTGAATCATTCAAATCGGACGCTTAGTTCTCTCAAAAACTGCCATTTTTTGCACATTTAGCTCTATATCTTTGAAATGGATGGAACTGCCTTTGCCAAAAACTATTCACACATTCTCCAAATCATTACAAATTGAATGTTTTTTAGATTATTCAAATCGGATACTCCGTTCTCTCAAAAACTCGCTTTGTATTTTCCGCACTCTTTGCACATCTCCGTAACGGCTGGACCTGCCTTTGCCAAAAACTAATCAGCACGTCTCCCTATCAATAGGAATCGAATGTTTTTTGAACCATTCAAATCGGTTGATCCGTGCGCCCGAAAACGTGGACGAAAAAATGCGGCCATACAAAACACACGCACACAACCATTTTTTCTGAAGTATGCCAAAATGTTCAGAAACTTTCAAAACGTGAAGATATGCAAAAATTGTCATTTTCGATTTTTGACCTATTACTATAACTATCCTACGGGAAGTTAAAAATAAATTTAGCCCTTTGCCCTCGAATTACATTTGGAGATGGATCTCGTACTACCCGGACTTAATTTCTGTCCATAGAGCAACAGGAATAACACTCAAGATTTTGATGTATATACCAGATTTAGCAATTGTTTTATGAACTTCTGATAGATTTTATTTCAAATACACTTCATCTAGTAAAATGTTTTTGTATAAAAATCATGTTTTATAGTTACTGAATGCACATTAGTGCAGTAAACGGAGACGAAAAAAGGGCATAACCTCTGAATTTTTTTACTGTGCTCCGAATTGAATGAAATTTTGGAATTAGGTTCATCTAACCCTCAAGTTCAAAAGTGAAAACAATTCGGGTTGCGCCATCACCCCCCGGGGGGATGACACCCCTTCTCAATTGTGTAATTAAATTTTTTCAAAATAACGGCGGAAATCGATAGAAGAACTAATTATATGAAAAAATGTCTTTTATAGTTTTTCAAAAAAACTAATACTTTTCAAGTTACTGGCCACTAAAGATTCATATATTTTTGGCCTTTTTCTTCGTTTTTTTGGAATGTGAATTACTTTAATTCTGGTGGAAATGGCGCTCATTAAACCATATGATTTAAAAGAAAAAAACTTCGTATACCCTAAACGCTCCGTTTACTGCACTACATATATACAGTGCACAAACAGAACGGTAAATAGGCTTTGGTATCAGAGTATCCATACGAGGGCAGAATATTAATATTCGTTTCTCAGTCAATAATATTTTACACTGTGATATTTAAAAAAAATAATTAAGTATTAAGCCTAAAATCAAGTATTTTTGCAAAACTGCCATTTTCAGCTTATTCCTAGCCGAAAAATTCGTAAAGTGGTGGATTTCTTTTGATGTGTTCTTCTAAACGTAGCAGACTCACATTCATGTCCATATTCAACTTTTAAGAGTAAATAATGAGTAGCTCTTGATATACAAAGATTTTTCAGCAACATCAGTATCTTATTATACCAAAGTCAATAAATATTTAGTATTTCTAAAATGTGTTCTGAACGTTATTGTAACCATTTACCGATCATATAAATTTCTCTGCTATCTTACTTATATGATTTTATATAATTAATTCCATATTTTTTCTTCTATTGCAGATGCAAAGCGACCCCGAATTTGTGTCGACTCTGATGAATCCGATTGTGGTACGGGAGCAGGTGGAGTGGCCGGCAGTCCTTCAGAACCTAGATCGGCTCCATCGAGCGACCATGAACTTCTAGACGTAGAACAAGATTTAGATGGAAGTGAGCATCAACCGGCACCAGAAAATCTATCACTGAGGCGAGGGAATGGAGAAGCAGCTACACCTCCGACACACCAAGCACAGGCACAAAATCAAGAACCGCAAAGAGATGTAAGTTTTATAAGAGCACTAGCAAACCCGACGAACTCCGTTTCGCCACCAGATGGTTTCGTGAGAAAGATGAAGAAATTTTTTGTTTGTTTTATATTTGAAAAGAAAAAAAAATTCTATTACACAACAGTGATGAATTTATTTCGATTACAAAAATATATTGTTTTTTAGTTGAACTTCTCTAAGTAAATGAAAGTGAATCCGCAAATTATCCTTTTCATTGAAGTGCTCTTTGGTAAACCACATTTTTTGTTTTTTGGTCTGACGTTAACAGAAACAAAGCGGATGATTTCCCAACTCGTGAACAGGCAACGTATAACTGCCCATGTGAAGAACAATAATTTTCTAAATAATCTATTTGAAATTTATCCCGCAAACACTAAACGATTGGCCTTGAGACTTGTTAATTGTCATTGCAAACGCAAGGCGAACTGGAAATTGCAATCGTTTGAAGTCAAACAGAAGACCAGTCGGAATCATTGGTATGTCACCAAATTGCCAGCAATCTTTGATTGAATGGTGAAATTCAGTGCGTCATCATCATTATTCTTTGCGGCAAGAATTGCTCTTTGACTTAACCAAGCATAATTCTGATAATTCCCACTAATGTCATTACTCGAATTTTTAATTACGGTGCGTGAAGTTCCAGCAATTTGCATTAAAGCACAATGCACCACTAATTTTCTTAGCAATAAACCTGATGAGCCCGAGACCTTTCCAACGAATGCAAAAACGTCGAAATCGTGCGTTCTGGAGTTATATCGTCAGGAAGGAAAACCCGACTTATTTTTATATATATGTAGATAACAAATTTGTATTTCTGGTAATTGCGCTATTTAATATCTGATTTCGAGATTTCTTTGGATTTACTTTTCCATAAATGTACATGTACATAAATTTAATCCGCCTATAAATATGATTATTGATTTATTACTGTTCTCTAACATATTATTAGTTCTTTCAACAGAGCTTGTTTGCGCACTATGCTGGATTTGCACCATATTCACCATATAACCAGCAGCCTCCAGCAGTCCAACAGCAACAGCAAAGATCGCCAGTAGATGTGTTGTTAAGAGTTTTTCCTGGTAGAAGGCGAGCGGAAGTTGAAAGTATACTACAACGGTGTAAAGGTAAATTTTTTCACATGCATTGTATAAATAATATACAATATCATTATTTATCTTTCTGTAGTTCTCACTGCCCATTTATTTAAAGAATTTATCATTTATTCCAGGAGATGTTTTGCAAGCAATGGAAGCTATGGTTTTCTCCTCTGAATCATCACCTCCGCCTCCGACGTATCCATGTACCCCTCCAAAGTCGGCCTTTAGTCCACTTGGTGCTCACTACCCGCGATACGGACCTCATATACCGCGGCGATTCTTAGCCGCCCCTTACGCCGGCACCGGATACTTGCCGACGGTGATAAGACCTGATTACCCACTACAAGCGCCGCCGCCGCCACCACTCGCCGGACTCGGCGGACACGAATCGCCAGGATCAAATACAGGATCGGATAAAACTTCTTATTCGGAATGAGATTATAATCCAACGCTTTGGCGTGACATAAAAGAATAGAATTGTGATTAATCGAAGCATAATCATAATCGGTTGGATTCAGGGACCATTGTCGACAGTTGTTATTCCTGAATATAACGATCTACCAAGTTCAAATACGTATCAAACTTCATATTTAATTAAGCACAATGTAAAATGAAAATGCGGTCATCGAGTTTTTTGGATTATCAGAAGTGAACTGTACGTATAAATAATCATAATTGAAAAGTGAATGGTGTGTAGTGCTTTAAAAATACTACTGCATTTTAAACTAAGCTTTCTATATTGTGATTTTAGAATCTAAATGTAATAAAAAATGTATACGCAATAATATCAGAAACATTGGTTGAAAGCAAAAAGTAAACGGAATCAGATTTTTCTAAGGTTCAGTTAAGTAAAACGAACTGATTGTATATGTTACCGTTTAGTGTCAAAGACAATGTTAGTTCAATAAAATAACATAAGTATAATTTATATTTAAATCTTTATTATTAAAAAAATTAATAAAATGTGCCATAATTGTAAATAATCATTACTACATGTCTATAAAAACATTTTCTATATCTTCTTTCAACCGACTTTTGTAAAAATAATACAAATAAGTATTACTAGATTTTGTTATTGTACAAAAATTCAATATCTGTGAATTAAAATATCCAAATCATTTATCAATAATCCACATATAAACAGCTAATCTTGATCTTGAATAGCATACGTATCTGATTGTACTAGAATTAAGATTTAAAGCTTTTACCTATATCAAGTACTAAAATGTGATTCATATGTAAGTTAAATTGTATTATAAAAAATGAATATATTATTGTATATACAAGTAGTCATGTTATAAAAAACTGTAGTAAAATATTATATAATTGTGTGTAGTAAAAATAAATATATAAATAAAACATATGCTGGAGTTTTTCTGAAGAATAATAAATTGAGCCATAAAATTATAATGTATGCATCACATAAGTATAATGGTTTCATTAAATGTTTCATTTACAGTTACTTAAAATGTACAGCATAATATGATGTAGGTGAAGCATATACAAAATGAAAAAAATGATACCCTCTTAACTTTTTTAATAGTCTTGAAATAAAAAATAGACATAAAGCAAACAGATTTTTTTTAGAAAAATACAGAAGTTTCCGCAGATCTGTATAAATCAATTTCAAAGATTACAAAGGAGTTTCTGCAGGTCTGTCTGCAGAAACTGTCTGCATTATTAGATCAATATCAAAACTATTTTTGATTAAATATTAACAGCGTCCTTTCATTATTATTCTACATCAATCAACAAATACTCATTTCAAACATACAAAAGTAGTTTAGTTATAATAACAAATTATTAATTTGGTGTTCCTTTTTAAGTCGCTAACAAATTATTTATTAACTAATACACATACATACGACAAAACCACTTTATTAACTTCCCGTAGGGTAAGTTATTGTAATCGTCCAAAAATCGAAATTGAAATTTTTTGCATTTCTCGACGTTTTGAAGGTTTCTGAACACTTTGGCATACCTCAGAAAAAATGGATGTGTGTGTGTGTGTGTGTTTTGTGTGTCCGCATTTTTCGTTCACGTTTTCGGGCGCACGAATCAACCGATTTGAATGGTTCAAAAAACATTCGGTCCCTATTGATAGGGAGAAGTGCTGATTAGTTTTTGGCAAAGGCAGGTCCAGCAGTTTTGGAGATAAAGAGCAAAGAGTGCAGAAAAGTAAAATCGAGTTTTTGAGAGAACGGAGCATCCGATTTGAATGATCTAAAAAACATTTAATTAGTAATAATTGGGAGCAGTGGTTAATAGTTTTTGGCAAAGGCAGGCCCAGCTATTTCAAAGATACAGAGCTAAATGTGCAAAATATGGCAGTTTTTAAGAGAACTAAGCGTCCGATTTAAATGCTTCAAAGAACTTTCTGCTTGTTTTAACAAAATCATTGATTTTGGACCTTAAGGCACGATGCCATGCACCCCACTAGTTTTATCATTTATGTTAATTAGAAAGCAATTAATGACCGTCGACATAAACAATTATACTCAAGTACATAGTATTTTTTTATTTCACTTTTACTAAATTATAATCTGTCTTTAAAAAAACGTAATAGTTAGTAATAGCATAAAATTATTCGAAAACGCCCTACCCTAGCAACAAACAATTTTGAGTTAAAAATTTAGAGATTACCTAATGTATCCTTTTCAGATAAAAATTCTATTTATGTGAAAACAACTCATAATGTGAATAATTTTATTACATATTATATTTTTTATAGTCAACTTGGCGAGTGTTCGGTGGGCGTTGTTGTCAGCATCTAAATCATCCCTTAGTTTTGCGAATGCTTATTCGCATTGTGGTGGAACGCACGAAGAACAGAGAACTACTAACCAGATGAGAGGAATTGTGTATTATGTTGGAATTGTGTGTTTTGGTCTCTATTCTCTATTGTCCCCGATATAACTTGCTTTATGTGTTTCAGAGTGCATTAGCGGCGCGTACATTGCATTTGCCTTGTATACGGGAATGGAGTCGCGGTACCTATATAACACAAATATAATAGACTAGTGTAACTAGAGTAACTAGAGTTTCATGACAAATTTCTGGAGCTTTCCGTAACGTAATTTGAGGTTTTTAGAAGCTTGAATTTTTGAAGTAAAACTTTGTTAGGCGTGACTAGGATGTAAATCCGTACAACTCCGTTAACGGAAATGTGTTACGCCAGAACTGTACGTCACTCGTTCTCGATGAAATCATTATTCTATATGAGTCGATTGTGATTAGTCGTCGTGTATGTGAATAGAGATCCGTCGTTTTTTGCGTACCGGCATCAACGTTGCATGCGTACCGATATCAACAAAAAAATCGGCATAAATAAATAAACATTTTAAAGTTACATCGTAGTACAAATCTTGATTAAATCAGAAGAATATTTTACCCTGTTCCTTGAAAATAATGAAACAAATTAAACATTTATGCCGTGTACGTAAGTTTATTGATTAGAAATTATTTCTATATTATTCGTAGTTTCTGAGAGTGAGATATATTGCCAGCGAAAACGTAAAAAAAGTAAAAAAAAAAATACAAGCAGTCAATGAATGTATGCTAATTTTGATTACATGAAGTTCTTCAAACACAATTACATGATGAGTGATGTTGCGAAAACAATATTTGTTAAGGCGTTGTTTAACAGAATCCACTGTGTGAACGAATATTATAGAATTTATTAATCAGCAATTACTTCATTTTTCTAATAAAAGTTCATTTCTAAATGCTTATTACAATGACAAACCGATCATGTCATATGTGTAGTATGACTTTAATTACATTATTGTTTTTAAATATTATACATATTTTAATGCTACTTTTAATATATAATTTATAATTTATCATTATATGAATGTGTATAATGATTGACACTAATAAATATATGCATCACGAGTGTTACCATATTACTAATAAACATTATTCAAAATTATTATATGATGTATTCATTTTTACCAATCCATCTTGTTTATATCCATCTTTGTTTTTATCATGCCATCTTGTAAATTTTGAGAAAAATATTTTTTAGAATATCTAGATTTTTTTCAACATTTTTGATTTTGAAGTTTTTATTGGAACTCTAAAACCAATCTAAGACCAGCCTTACCATAAATTTAATCAATTTAATTTTTGAACCATTCAAATCGGACACTCCGTTCTCTCAAAAACTGAATTATTATTAATTGCACTTTTTGTCCCATACTTCAAAACATCTAGTTCTGCCTTTACCAGAAGCTAATCAGCACGTCTCCCTGTCTATAGGAACGAATATTTTTTAAATCATTTAAATCAGTCGATCCGTGCTCTCAATATCGTGAATGAAAAATTGTATCAGTTCATACATACGCACACAAACAGACACATACCCATTTTTTTCAATGTGCGCCAAAATGCTCAGAAACCCCTGAAACGCGAAGATATGAAAAAAATGTTCTTCATCGATAATACTAAGAAAGTTAAAAAATACTATTATTTAAATCTTTGGCAAACAATATTCGACACGCAAGTAATAATAACTATCCAATAATGAAATAGTTCAATATAATTAATTTTGAGAAATGAAAAACAAAAGTTTGATAACAATATATGCTACTAATTTGAATAACATATTTATAACTAAACTAGCTGTACCCGTTCACGCTTTGCCGTGATTTAGTTTAAATTAAAAAGTTGAACAAAGATGTGTATTTGTTACATTTAGTTTAACGTTACTACTATCTGTTCAACAATTTACCTATTCAACAATTTGTCTACGAATTTACCTATAAACTTGTAAATCGATCTACCAATTTACCGACTTACGAATTTACCTATCAACCCGTTTCACATGTCTACCAATTTACCTGTCAACCTGTTCATCCGTCTTGTTATTTGTCTATCAACCAGATGTCCTGTCTACCATTTTATATATTCTCCAATTTACCTGACTACCAGCTATCCAACAAATTACCTTTTCACCAATTTACTTGTCTACCAATTCAACTGTCTACCAATTTACCTATCTACCAATTTACCTATCGACTTGTTCATCAATCTACCATTTTACCGGCCTACAAATTTATCTCACGTCCTGTTCTACATATCTACCAATTAAGCTGTCAACCAGTTTACCTTTATAAATTCTCTAAATCACCTTATTTATTTACGCATTCATTATAAACAAATTAAAGCTCAAATTGATTCCACGTTTTAGTTAGAAAACGTTTGTATGTCAAAAAGAAAAGGGCTGTTTTTAAGGTTTTTCCGGCAATTATTCGATTTTTTCTTGCCGTAAGAACCATCCTTGGACTTTAACGAACATTTTAGAAAACGAATTGGCCAAATTGGTCCAGGCATTGTTGTGTTATGCGCTTACCGACACATTTTGCGATTCATTTTTATATATAAGATATATCATTTCAGAAATAATAAAACTTTTTTGAATGACAAATGATTCTT